TTTTCAAAACCTCCGGGCACAATCTCTAATACCTTTGGACACAATTTTCTAATACATTTGGGCATAATTTTTAAGACCTTCAGCATAATTTTGACTTGTGATGTTGTCTCAGTATATTCTTTATCTTTTAATTTGTGATGTTTTACCAGTCAATTCTTTATTTCTCGATTTATAGTGTTGTCCTAGTCATTCTTTACTTTTTAATTCACAACGTTGTCCTAGTGGATTCTTTACTTTTCAACTTGTGGTGTTGTCTCGATCGATTCTTTATTTTTCGACTCACAGTGTTGTCTTGGTCATTTTCTTTCTCACTTGACTTATGATTCAATCCAAAAAAAATAACAAAATAAAAACCAATTAAAAAAATCCTTGACTTGCTTTCGGACAAAATTGTTGTATTCGTCTTTGTTCTATTCCTAATTCTCATAAATATACAAAGAAGGGCAATTGTAGATGTCAAATTTTATCCGAGTCTATTGAATAAAATTTCATTTTTAGTTTTTGTTTATTGATATTAAAATTATTAATAATTATAATAGTAAATAATAATAATAATAATAATATTGGTTTAATTAAAATTTAAAAAAAAAAGTTAAAAAGAAAAGGTTAAAAAAAAAAGGTTGGGACAGGGACAGGCATGGTGCATGGACGGCATCAGCCTATTCATTTGCACTCGCCACCACCATTCCCAACCCCATCAAAGCTCTGCACCTCATCTGCCCCAACTACCCAGAACCACCAACCTTAACTTACAAATTCTTATACTGAGCCAGGCACCTGCTTCTCCCACTATCCCAAGTGCCTAACCCTATAAAGCACCCAACTTCTTCCCTTTTGAAGCTTTCAGATGCATAGACACATAAACCCTAGCGTTCTCACACCTAAAAAACCTTAACTCCTATACTTAGAAACGCCAGCTCTCCCATACTTAGAAACTCAAGCTCTTCAATGCCCCCAACTAAACTCTCCACCTACCAAAAAAAAAAAAAAAACCCAAACAAAAAACAACACAATCTTTCCCATAAGGAAGAACCATCAGCACCAAAGAGCTAACTACAAAAAAAAAAAAAAAGTCATCAGTTTTGGTTAAAATCAAAAAAGAAAAAAAAAGAGACAAAAAACTTCAAATCCCAATCTACACTGATTAGACTGTTTCCAATTAAAAGGAGACCAGATCTAGAAAGATCACATTGAAGAGAGCTTTTGAAAGTTTTTTTTTTTTCGATTACTGATGACTTCAAGACGACGACCGGTGCGACGGTATGGCACTAGATTCTAATTAGGCCAGAAAGTTTTTTTGGAGCTAAGCATTTTTTTCTGAGAAAGGATGAAATGAGCTAAAAAAAAACTTGGCTTTTATATAGAAGACTTTGACCAAAACGATGTCATTTTGGATAAATAGAGGATCTACGTGTGCCCGTAACTCGACTCGAGATCTGCACAACTTGACCCATCAACTCATTTCAACCAACCTTTGGGCGATCTATATGAACCATTAAGGAACTTATTTGAACCAATCTAAACCACCTAATCGTCGAGCAACCAGATCGGCTTGTTGATCAGACTATTGATCGATCCAGTTCAGGTTTATTTTTTATTTACTATTTTTTTATTATTTTTATTATTTTGAGTTTTATTTTTAATATTTATGCACGATAAATTTTTAATTTGTTAGAATAAATATTTGATTGCTTTTAATAATAATAAAAATTATAAAAATAATAATAAAAATAAGTAATGAAATATATTGTTAATTTTTTTAAAAAAATAAACTTTACAGAATAAAATAAAAACAATAATAATAATAATAATAATAATAATAATAATAATAATAATAATAATAATATATAAAATGCTTATAAAATAGAGAATAAAAAAATTTTTCCTACCTCGATGTTGGAAGGAATATAATTATGTTTCAAATAATAATAATTCCGCCTATATGTTAAAAAATTATTATAAAAAAATCAATAAATAAATTAACAATAATAATAAATAAATTTTCATAAAAAAAAGAAAATACATAAAAAAATTAATTTAAAAAAATTATAAAAATCAAGCTTGCTTAAAAAATTCACCTATATCTTCGAAATTTTTTAAAAAGTTTGTGTTTTCTTTAAACCCTAAAATCTAAACCCTAAACCCTAAATCCTAAAATCAAAATCTTAAACCTTCAAACCTTAAAACTAAAACCCTAAACCCTTTAAATTCTAAAATCAAAACCCTAATCTCTTAAACCTTAAAACTAAAATCCTAAACTCTTTAAACCTCAAAACTAAAACTCTAAACCCCAAACCATAAAATTGAAACCTTAAACCATCTAAACCCTAAAACCAAACCCTTAAACCCTTAAAACCCAAATCAAAACCCTAAAATCCAAAACCTAAAACCCTAAATTTAAAAATTCAAAACCTTAAACCCCAAATTTGGTACATAATTTTGAATCATCACTAAAAAATTTAAAACTTTTAAACCCCTAAATCCCAAACCAATACTCAAAACCATTCTGAAACTTTAAGGATATGTATGAAAATTTCAGGTGGAGTAATTTGTTCCCGAGTATCGCTTAAACGATTGGGTATTTAGAAAACTTTATTCCATTAAGTTTTTCATGTAGGTCTTTAATTTACTTTAACAATTGGATTAATAATTGACAAGCTTTAATAAAAAAAATATAATAATAATAAAATGGGATCTTAAATATGAATAGTCACACTTAAACTCCACCTAAATGTTAAGGAGTCAAGAAAGTCTCATTATATTTAAGAATATAATTTCAAATTTGCATTTCATTATCATACATAGTACCTATTGGCTTACATGCTTCTATTTGTTATTGTTTGCACTCGTTTTACATTTCTCTATTTTTAATTTTTATTTGCTACCTGATAATATCATTATTTACTTTCTTATATAAAATATATTTTTTTTGCAAAAAAAATACATATTTTAAAATTGTTATAAAATAAAATAAAAATAACATTTTGAAAGAAATAATTCTTGGTATTATACCTAGATGTTAGAGAGTCACCGATAATTATATTCTATAAAGAGTATATTTTTCATTTTAAGAAATATCGTATTAAATTTCAAGTGACAAGAGTTACTTTAAATTTTGTCTAGATGTTAGAGAATTTTAAAATAATTTTTTAACTTAAAGATTTTTTCGTTATTCTTAAATAAAGAGCTTTAGCAAAATTTTGTTTTTATTAAAATGAAGGAAATTAGTATTAAATGTCAAATCAAAACCATTTCATCCAATACCAAAAACAGTGCATGATTAAATAGTACCAATTTATGTGTATTATGAGGGTGTTAATCTTTTCTCATATATAATTGACTCCTGAGCCTAACCTGATTTTTTGTATATCGAAATTTATTTTTTGCATAAATTGTAAACCCGTTTTTGTAATTCTATTAAAAAAATAATTTTTTTAGTAATCAATCACACAACAAAAAAGATTAGTGACAATTCTCTCATTTTTTTCTTAATTTTAAAATTTTTTATGTCTAGCAGTTCTAAAACCATTACTGCATATAAATATTACACATACACATATATCTTTTTTTTGAGTATTTTGGTGGCCTAAAAGATTTTTGGCTTTATGGGTAAATGAGCTTTTGGTTGTTTTATAATTGTCTTTTTATCTTCATCTATGTTTTTTGTATTTTTTATTTAAATTTTTTTAAGAAATGATTATTATAATTAAGGATAGTTTGAGAAAATATTACAAAATCTATTTATAACTCAATATGTATTTGAACAATTTAGTAAAGATGGTCGACAGAGACATAAAGGAAATATTTTTTTATTATTTTTAAATATTTTTTTTTCTTATTTTAGATTTTCCATTCTTTAATTCGTTATTTTTCTACTATTTTTTTTAATTTGATATTTTGGAAATATAATTTAAATGTTCAAGAAATATAATAATTAGACCAAATAATTTATTCTTTAACATTAAAAAATAAATTATACCTTCCACAATGAAACAAAGCAATGAACTAGTTATAGTAAAAATTAAAAACTGTACATGTCTTTTTTTTATGAAAAACTATTTTTATAAAATGAAAATATGAAAAAAATTTTATGTTATGCATTGTGTTTAGAAAATAGAAAATGAATTAATGAATTTTTTCTTGGGCCATACAACAGAAGGTCCACTATTACGGTCATAAAAATGTTTTGTCCAATTCTGCTAGAGAACATAGGCATATAGAAGAACGAAATCGTGTTTTTTTAAGGGTTGTAAATGAACTGAATGAGTAAATATATATTTATGATTTATTCGTTTAATTTTTATGTGTTTGGGTTTAGTTTGTATTTAATAAAAGAATTATTTTATTTATTTGAGCTCAATTTATTTAAATAATTAAATGTTTATATTTAATTTAATTAATTTATTCATAAACATTGAACGAATATATTTACGAATAATAAAAAAATTATAGTAAAATAAATTTAAACAAACTCAAAAGAATATAAATAAACCTTAAAATATAATTAAGATAAAAATAAAAATATAATTTTATTAGTATTATTACAAACTAATAGTAATAAAATAATAAACAAATAAATTTTAATCAAATTTTAAACAAATTTATTTACAAATATAAATGAATCAAATAAATTTTTACTTATTTTTGATTCGTTTAATAAATAAATATAAAAATATTATTTAAAATTATTATTAAATTTAATAAATAAGTATAAACGAACGAAAATTAAACATGTTGACAGGTAATTCGCCAAAAACTTTGGTTATTTACGCCTCTAACGACTAGAGGAAAAGCCTTTTACGTTTGTTTTTGGTTAGTCTCGAACTCGGGATGTAGAATAGATTAATTAGTAGAATTTACCGAAGCCGTGTTTTCATTTTTTTCTGTCGATTTTGCTATGCTTGCCGGAAAACGTTGAAAAAACTCCTTTTTATTTTTAAAATTAAATGTATTTTCATCTCATTTTCTAAAAAAAAAAAAATTTTATCAAATATTTATTAAATATGTTTTCACTTCTGTTTTCTATTTTTCATGAAAATAAAAACAGAATGAAAAATAGAACACAGAAAAGAATTAGGTTTTCTTTTAAACCAAACACACCCTAAGAGAAAACAATAAAAACATCTCAATCAAAAACAAGCCACCAAAGAACATTATCAAGAAATCTCGGATTTAGCCAAACCATCCGCAATAGAGTTTGTTTCTCGAAAAATATGTTTGAATGAAATACCGTTGAAATTGCATTTGAGACGTTTAATATTGATTTGAGATGTGTTTTTTCCTTCACGAGATAGAATAATAATTATTGGCTCAGAGAATAGCCTTACTTGAAAACAAGCCCAAGAAGAGGAAAGGAATAATATCACTGACACTCCGAGAAAATCACACCGGCAAGCGGCAATCCGACGCTGAAATCAGGGGTTAGGAGACGGTAAATAGAAAATATTGAGCAATACAAAGAAATTGATAAAAATATTATTGGCGACACTATAAATTTCTCGACGAATGCCATAATATATATAATTATTTCCATTGATCTACTTCAACGAATTACACAATTTAATTTACCCCAATACAAACAAGCCATCTCAAGTAGCAAAGGAAAACATAGAAAATAGCAACCCCTGACCATAAAACGAATGCAAGATTCTCCAATTGATTCACCTAATAGAAGCAATCATGCACGTACTACATCTATTCACATTATCCCACCACCAAGGTGAAACATTTCAGTGCAGTGGACATCTTTTACTTGACACCAAAACTCTGGGGGCTTGGAAGAGACCCTTGGAGAAAAACTGTTATTAGTTTTTTTTTAATAAAAGAAGGCTGTAGTTTAGATAAGAAAAGGAATTGCATGAACTGAGATTTGACTATCATGACACTTTTTAAGTATGATCTACAGAAATTAATTAAGTTGAACTGGATAAATATTATTAGTTAAAATAACGTACACTCAAGGCTTGTTGGCGTTACCCATCAAAAACAAGTCAGTTAAGCGCGCAAACGAAGTGAACGAAGACCCATTGCTATTCTTCACAGCTTTCCGGCTCATTTCACTCATCTTTTTCACCCTCTTCCGCACCTCGCTGTCCCCATCCATCAAGCAATTTAGAGCTTTGCCAATTTCATCTGCCATCACCGCATCACTGTCGCCCAGCTTATAGTCTAATCTCATCTCCACTGCTAACCCCAAATCTTTCACCATCTGAAATGCATTCATTTGTTGCTCTCCGTGCATTGGCCATGTCAAAATGGGCACCCCATACCATAAGCTCTCAAGAATCGAGTTCCATCCGCAGTGTGATAAAAAGCCTCCGATGGATTTGTGGGCAAGGACTTCAACTTGCGGAGCCCAACCACATACCATTCCTCTTCCTTCTGTACGCTGCAAGAACCCTTCAGGCAAAATCTCCTTCAGATTGGGGCAATTACTAGGCCTAATTCCCAACCCCTGGTTCCTTGGACTTCGTATCGGTAGTGACCACAAGAATCTATGCCCGCATTGCTCGAGCCCCCGTGCAATCTCCATGGCTTGTGGTTCCACCACGCAATACAAGCTTCCAAAACAGATGAAAACCACCGTTGATGGGGGTTGATTGTCAAGCCACTTCATGATCTCGTCATTTTGGACCTCATCACACATCGAACTACTATGACCTCGAAGCTCAAGTACGGGCCCTACCAAGTAAAAGGGTGGTATGTCATACTCTACCAGAGACTTAACCGCTTGAGGTTCTAACTCTTCGAACGAGTTAACAATTATGCCCTTGGTTTCTTTCAATCTTCTCATGGAATTTTTGGTGTAAATGTACCCACCATTCTCGTCAAAAAAAAGCGAGGGTATAACTTTACAAGGAACCGGGTTTGTAAAGCTTGGGATAACTAACTCTCCATCGGAAGCTTGAAACACCCTGCCAACTTGATCATGTCGAGTAACTACGTGTAACATAAATCCAAGAGTGGCTGCACCGGAAGTGTAGAAAAGATAAGAAGGGAGGCTAAGTTCATTGGCCACATCAATCATAGGAGCGGCAAATGCATCAACAACAAACAAGGCAGCAGAGACAGCATAATTTGGTAAAACGTGATTAATGATATACTCTTTGATGTTCGACTTGTGACTCTCCAAAAATTCAAATCCAACTATATATGGGCTTTTGGTATTGCTTAATGGATCAGTTTCCATTTGAGGAAAATTGATAAATCGTATTCGAGCATCAGAAGCCGCAAGTAATCGGACGTATGTTTGGACCTTCGGTTCCAGCAATGGGTCTATAATTAGGACTGTGACTGAGAAACGATCATCTTGATCACGCAATCGCTTTGCAAACTCAACATTCGAGACGAGGTGGCCGATGGCTGGTGCAGGGATGAAAACTACCTCTATTTTTTCCATTGATTTTTGTCGGTGATCTCTGGTGGGTCGTATTATACAGCGGCAACTTTTTGTCTGAGATTTTTTTTTTCTTGTTGAAAATGTTGTCTACAATAGCCCCATTAATGGTGATCACCTGGTCCACCTGTGGTGTCAACCACCTCTATTATTGAAACGAAAGGTAAAAATATAAATGCTGACACTGACCCCAATGTTCAGTTGGATATTTTTTGGGGTACTGAAAATACATAATTTATACGCTGATAATACTAAATATAAAATTTTAAAATTTTATCCACACCTTATATGCTTGGAAAGTATGTGACTCATCTACCATTAATTTTTAGTTTTATATATCTTTTGTTCGGTTAGAAAAATTAATTATAATACTTTATTGCTTTTACTATTTTCTTCTTTAGTTTAGAAAATTAATCAGACATGACATCTATTGGAGGAGAAAATTTGTATTCAGTTACAAAAATATCACATGTTTTTCCAAATTTTTCTTTAAATTTTCTCTAGTGCCAAGTAAAATTTATAAAATAAATTACTTGAAGATTTTCAAGTGATAAATCATATATTGTCTTGTGATATTGATGACGTTATTAAACAAATTACCAAATTTCTCATGTTATTAAATAAATTGTGAAATACACAATGTATCATTTGATAGTTCAAGATAAAAACACGTGATTTCACCCATCAAATCTCAAAAAATCATAGATATCCTCTTTCCAATCAAATTTCATTATCAAAATGCTTAAATTCTTATAGAACTTTCTGTTCATTGCATTATCAATACAATGCTCCTCAAAATCTTCCATAAAATAATAGATGAATCAGTTTATTTTAAGGTAAAATATGTAATTGGTCACTTAATTATGATAATATTTATAAAATAATTATTAAACTTTTAAATTTTTAATTTAATCATTAAAGTTTGAGTAAAATTTTTTTCTCACCCAATAATTAATTTTTAAAAAACCTCATTTTTCTTCTACATTATAAGAGTCAACTCAAGATCTCTAAAATTAAAATATTAAATTTTAACTACTAGAGTATTTTCTAAAGGACAATTTGATCGTTTGTAGTGATGAAAAGATAATTAAGTGATGAAAATATAATTAACATCTTAATTTACAAGGAAATTTAATCTACGCACCAAAAAGTAAAAGTAGTCCCTAACTTATTGACTAGTAGTTAAGGAGCTCATAAGAGGACACAAAGATCTTTAGATCTCTTTCCTCTTTTTTCATGTTCTATGCCCATTCTATATAAAAAAGTACAAAATCCAAGTCTCAACCCCAAGAAGTTCTACACAAATAAACAAAAACTAATGCCAACGAAGTAGACTTGAATATGGTGGAAGAAGGAATCCCATATTTTCCTCTTTTAAACAACCCTTTCAGAAATGGCAAGAAGCATAGCACCACCCATAGGCTGCACAAGATCTCACCTAGCCCTACTCCCTGCCCAACATCATCAACTAATGGTCGCAACCCTAAGGAAAAGGCGAGCAGTGCTGTCAGGTGCACCAGCAAAATGGTCGTGCCCGGCACAAAAATTGGTGACTCATCGAAAGTAAATATTGTGTTACCGTTAGTTTCGTCACCATCGGAATTAGATTGTTCTTTTTTTGTAACTTCAAAAACTGCATCAGAGAGCCCTAGCAGTTTGAGGACGACGCTTAAAAATCCAAATAAATACGCTGAGGTTGCTGTTATTCTTCCCATTTTCATGTTATTCCACCATGCTCGGATGGACATGCCGGTTTTCAAGTATTCCCTGAGAGTGACCAGGTTGTAAATCATAAAGTCACAACCGGAATAAATATAGCCGGCTCCTGGACCTGTAGACATATTCATTGTTAAACTTGTTAGCTATTAGAAACACATAAAGGTCACTCTTTTTAAAAAAAAAAAAAAAAAATCATTTTTACTTTCCCTTAATACTTTTTTTGTTTCAAATCAGAAGTAATTTCTTAAAGAAAATTTACAATCAATAAAAGTTAAATCTTGATTTTATAATTTCTTGAATTTTAAACAAGATTAAAATCAGACATTGCATATGAGACGGAAGGAGTAGTTTATATAACTCATACAATTACATTATACTAATTTGTTTCAAAGATAAAGTAATGATATTTAATCAGGAAAATATTCCTTTGAACTTCATCAACAAAAAATTCTGTCTAAATTTTGCTTACTAATTTTTACAAAGCTTCTTTTGTTTTCTTATTGCATGTACTTGTTTTTCAGAAAGTTGTATATGGAACTTCAACTATATGTGGCCATGATTTGATGTCGAGACAGTAAAACATGCCACCGACGTGAGAGACAAAGACGTAACACATAACATGACCTCCAATACTTCATTCTACCTCTTTCATTTTTTTGGTATCTATCTATATAAAATTTGAAATTTAATTCAAGTGATTAATGTAGTTATTTTTAGAATGTGACAATTAACAAGTTTGAATTCAAATTGTAACCTATTCTTTTATCTTTAAACTACAACATGCTATGCATTAAAATAAAAAATAAAAAAAAGAAAAAAAAAGAGAGCATATAAGAGGACCGACCTACTGTCAATTCTATACTACTGTTATACTACATGTAGATACAAGATTGTCCTCACCTTGGGCAAAAAATGGAGTTGGCGATGATGCAATATGCAGGCACAGCAGCATAACATAGCTCAGGAATTGAGGAGACGCCCCATAAAAACAACCAGATGTAGAATAACAACATCCTGAATTGGAGCTTCCCATTCAGGGTGGCAAATATAGGGCTGTTTTTGCTAACGAGGATTTCAAACAGGCCTATCGCCCACCTTTTCTGTTGAGTCATTACTGCCGGACCCGCAGACGGCGAACATCCTAGAAAGGCCGGTGGGCCGGGGGTGAGATAGGTGGATTTCCACCCTTTCTTGTGAATCTCCAACCCCGTATGGGCATCTTCAGCCATGGATCCATATATCCATCCAACCTGAAGTGAATGTAATCAATTATACTCTAAATTCAAGTTTTACACTTTACAATCAAATCGATATATACTCTGTTACTAATATTTTAGTAGGTTTATTCTACTAACTTTTGTCCCCCAGCTTGTACCAAACTCATAGTCACAACCTGCAACCTGGAATGCTGCCTCAAGAGAATTTGAATGGTTGTTTGGAAAATCCTTCTTCCCTTTCATTGCATAAATTGCTGATTCTGAAAACTCCTTTGATTTCCCAAACACTTTTAACTGTTCACAATCATCTAATTTTCCTACATATAAGAAAGTATAAACCATCATGGTCCTATTATTTAATAACCATTGGAATATAGTTAGAGTTATAAGACGAAAAGAAATTATTACTTCAGATCAAATTTGCCAATTGAATTTTGCTCATATGATTCAATTTCTTTGAATTTTGTTATTTTACTTTAAAATTGAAATAAAATTTTCACTGGCAATAATGAAATATTCCATTAAATATTTTAATTCTATTACTTTTTATCCAAAATTAACGAAATTAAAAATATTAAATCATAGTATAACAACAGTTGCATTCTTACTTCCTTAATTTATGGTTAGAATGTTCAAGTATATACCTTCAATTGATGTATGATTTCTTCCCTGATTTTCTGCGTTATCAGGCCATAGACCGTGGATAACTTTTCGCCTGTGAAAACATCCCGTTCCGACATAGAATGGTCCTTGGATTCCCGCTGTTCCAGGGACCACATACTAACACATCAACATGTAAATTCTCTTAATGAATGCAGCAATTCCAAAACGAAAGAGAAAACGGAGAAGTAGAAAATTCATCGAGGTTCATAGAATTTTATGTGGCTCACTTCAAAAAAACCTCAAATTGGTTTCCGTAAGGATCATCCTTCGGTCCATCATAAAGCGTTGAGGATACTGAACAAATGCGATTTCACTTTCACTTTGGAACCGAGAAGATGACACATTGCTTGACGAACAACTTGTGGATTGCTCACAAACACATCGCAGTCTAAGTTCAGCATGAAGGGCGCATTCGTCATCAACCCTGACACTCTACTCTGTTTTTCAAACAAAAACCCAAAGCTCTTTTATTATACATCACAAATTATTCGGCCTGAAGGGGAATTGATTTTTAGTTAATTACCAGAACGTTCATGGCACCGGCTTTGAAATGACGTGGCTGTTTTGGCCGTTTCTCTCTGGAAATGTAAACCAAATGTGGCACATCATCATCCCGAGGGCTTTGTTTGTTCTCTCCTATGATCTACAAGAAAACAATTCAAATGATTCCAAATTTAATAACCAAATATATATAATTTTGTTTCGATTAATTAGAACATTGGAGAACATTTCAAACTTAAGGCTGTCTTTTTCTACAATGAGTTACCTTGATGATCGTTGGATGGTTGCCGCGTTCAACCTTGGAGAAAACAGCAAACTCACCACTTAGATCACATGGAGTTGATTTTTGTCCTGCTTCCTCTATTTTTAGGCTAAGGTGCTCGTACTTAGCCTACATAGATTAGGATATTACACTCAGACAAACTTTTTAATTTATTATTAACAATGTTAATTTTGATCTCCTAACTTTGGTATTGGGTACCTTCATCTTTTTCCAATCTTGTTTGAACTCAGAATTTGCAGAGGATGATGTAGGAAGGTCGAAGAAGTATCTAAAGGGAGCCCTGAGTTGAATTTTGTATTTCTTACAAAATGGGACCCAAAGCTTTGCAAATTTCGATGCTTTCACCAGAGAGTAAAAGGTGAGAGGGGAGCAGCCGTCGTCGGATACATAGCAAGCAAGTTTATGAGCTGGATAATCAACAGCCAACAAAGAGAGAACGCTGTTTACAGTTATAATCGGCAGCTCTAGCACGGGGTCTGCTGTCGTGACAAACATGTCCATAGGGGGAAGATATGGAAACCTGACAACAAAATATATGAACAAATTATTTATAATAAACAGTAACAGAAAGATGATGGTGATCGTACCTCTGTTCAAGGTTTTCTGGATACGTTTTGAATTCCACAGGATTCCATTTGGAGCTGAGATTGAGAAACCAGTTGAAAGTGAACCATGACTCGTATAAGAAAGCAAGGAGCCAGACAAATCCGTGGTTCTTTAGAGAAAGGAGTCGATAAAACAGGAGGGAAGCGAGAAGGAACAATAGAGTGATATCCAATGCTCTGTGGATAGTGTTTTTACGAGCAATTTTTTTATACAAGGGGAGACATAATTCCTTGGGCGCCATAGAATAGTGCTTAGAGTGCTGCTATAGTATGTGTTGTGTGTTCATAAAAGATTTTGAGGCCTCCTTTCTAACTTTATAATGGTTATATTTACAAGAGATTTATGTTTTAATAAAATTGCATTATTTTTCAATTAATATTCATGAAAGAGTTTCATTTTCTTTGTCAATTTTCATTTTTGGTACCAAGCAATTTCTATAATTATAAGTAGATATATGTAATTAATTCAAGCGTTTTCAACTTGTTTCACCTATAGAGTAAGATACTATATTTGTTGTTTCACAATTCACATGAAGTATGGATGGATATCTTAGGTTGTCATAACATATGCTTTCTCTTGTGTAGAAAAAGATCAAATTCAATTACAACAAATTTTGAATCAATAATTATATCTATATGAAATAATTTTTTAAAAAATTATTTCATTGCTGTAAGTGAAATGTTTAGATTTATAAGAGGAATTAATAAAATAACACATACCCTTAGATACATTA